TAGTATAAGGCGGATATTAGTTTTCTTTGAATTATCCGAGAGTTCTCTGAGAGTGAGATCTGTTTTTGCTCTCCATTTCTTTTGATCTTTGCACTCCTGGGCTTCTTCAAAAGCTTTGTCTTCAGTATCGGAGATCCTTTCTTCTGCCTGTTGCATTCTGTTATGGAGGGATTCCACTGTGTCTTTCAGATCCTTGAGGGCTGCAACCTCTTGTCTCAGTGTTTCAAAATCTTTGATCATTTTATCTTTGAAATCATTGAGTTCTTGAGACATCTTTTGAATAATTCCTTGAGATAGCTTTTGAATAATTTCTTGAGAAATCTTTTGAATAATTTCTTGAACTCCTAATTCCTTCCTTTCTTCCATTCTGTTAATCTTATATGCTATCCACATTCTGAACTCGATTTCTGACATCACAGCCATTTGCTTGTGGATGAGGTCTTCAATTGTGTCTGCCCCATTTTCCCTTGAAGGAGTTGATCTACTCTGGTTATTCGATTTGCCAGAGTTTTTCCGCTGATTCTGCCCCATGCTGAGTTTATCTTGTTTGGAGGCCTTATCAGAACCATTCAGTTGGTGGCTCCTTCTAGTTGCCCAGAGAGACAGGCAGAGCGTGTCTGTTGTCTTCTCCCAGTTCTTGGGTGCTAGGGCAGCTGGGGTACAGTGGAATGGCAGCAGCTGCATGAGAGTGTGCATGCCCGGATTAGATCTCGTTCAGCCTGCCGGGATGAGAGGCCAGCACAAGCCAGATCAGTCCTAATTTGGCCACTCTGGGGCAACTGGTGGAACAGGGGAACTGTAGTGGCTAGATCAGTCCTAGTTCAGCACCCTGGAGCAGCCAGGGGGTGGGGAATGGCAGCGGTAGTGCAGGGTATGCGAGCAACCAGATCAGTCCTAGTTCAGCCCTGCCAGAGTAGCTGGGGGGGAGCAGAGGACTCCTTCACCATCGCCCATTGGACACGTGCAGCACTAGCAAGCCGATGTGTGCCCTCCCAGCGCGGGAGCCAGGAGCAGGGAACTCCTCCACCTCCGTCTGTGGGACGTACGTGGCTCTAGCAAACAGTTCTGGACCTGCCCAGAGTGTCTAGCCTAGCAAGCAGTTCTAGGCCCACCCAGCTTGGGAGCCTGGAGTGGGGTATTCCTCCCCGGCCCCCGTGTGGTGTGCGTGTCTCTAGCAAGCTGTTTTGAGTCTACCTGGAATGGAGAACTCCTCCACCACTGCCCGTGGAATGCCTGTGGCACTAGCAAGCAGTTCTGGGCCTGCCCAGAGCAGGAGCCTGGGGCAGGGATCTCCTCTGCCACCCGTGAGGCATGCGACTCTAGCAAGCAGTTTTGGGCCTGCCCAGTTCCATGAGGGCAAAGGGACCCACCCAGCAAATGGGTTAGTCTGGGAAGGTTAATACCTCCTTCCCCACCCTCCACCCAGTCACTCGTAATCCCCTAGGTCTGTGACCCTATTCACTCCAGTAGGCCACTGCTCCTGGGGTTTACGACTGGCAAAATCAGCCAGAAATCTGAGTTGGGCAGGGGGGCCTTGCGTGTTTAAATTAGGCTTCTGTCCAGCTAGATTTCTCTGCAAGTCAGAGGTTGCATTCAGCTCTGGGCAGCAGACAAATAGCTGTTTACACTCAGGTTTCAATTCTAGCCTCTGCCCGCCCACTGCCTTTGTCTCAGCAGTGTTAGACCCTGGGGGCTGGTGCTTTACTTAGGAAAGTTCTCTGTGTTTTGCCTGTGGCTGCTGTCCAGAACCTCTGTTTGCCCAGAGAGATGTGGCTGGAATGGGGTCAGTTTGCAGCTCAGGATGCCACTCTTGCTGTATTGGCATCCCCTGAGCCAATTTTCTTCTCCTCACGCCTGTGCCACAGTCAACACAGAATAGCACCAGCCCTTTCCCCTTCCACTTCTCCCAAGGAGATGCCCAAGAATCTGGATTCCATAGGTAACAAACCTCCAGACCTTGGAGTGGGTGGGTGGGGACTCCTCGGAGTTCAATGTTGCAGGTGGGGAATATATATAGTTTTATACAGTTTCACAGTTTTATGCCTGGCCGGAGGGTGCCATGGCATGCCAGCAGGGGTAGGAGGTCCAGTTTTTAGGGGGTCTCTCCCATGGGATAGAGTGGGAGGAAGTTTGAACTCTCCTCACTTGTTTGCTTGGAGTAAACTGTGAGCCTTTGTTGTGGGGGAGGGCACTCCCATCCACTTGGTGGTGGATTTTGTACCTTTTGGTTGTATTTTTAGGGTCGTAGCTTGCCTCAGGAAGGTTGAAGTGTGCTATTCAATCTTCTCTTTTGGCTCTGCTCCAAATCATCAGCTAACTTGCTAAACTTCTGTCCCTCAAGCCTCCTTCTGGACGGGAGCTTCTGTAAAAAGCTGGCTGCAGTCCACCATCTTGGCTCCGCCTCAAAATATATTCCTTGAGTATACAAATGAGAGTGAGAAATTTTCAGAAACCCGCTCTATTTGGGTTGGCAAAAATAAAGATGAGACACAAAATTAAGTGGAGGAGATAGCATTTTACTCACCATTTCTTTCAAATTCATTCATTTACCCATCCATAAGAAGTTTGCATAACTTTCATTCTTACTCCCTCTTAGCCCCTGAACACCAGCTAAACCATTTACCAATAACAAAGATCTACTCAGATTCTCACCTCAGGCCATTTACACAAAGATAGCACCAGGTGTTCTAGGCATAAGCTTTCTGAGCTAGGAGGATTTTCCTCTACCCTCTACTATAGCCCTTCAGAGCCAACCGGATCA